TTCGTTTTTAAAGGGGGGGCCCCCTGTTTTATGGAAAAGGTGGTAAGTTACTAAATTTCTTTTAAAAAAGCTTTATGAGGGGTAGTGAGGCTCAGGTTAGGGTATTAAAAAGGGGAGGGAGAATTTCTTCCCCGGGAAAAAGTAGGGGCTTAGGGCAGGGGATGTGAATGTCACCATGGGTTTTTTAATATATTTTTAGATGGGGTTTTTAAAAAAAGTAAATGGGAGGGGGTTGGGGGAGGGGTGGGGTTAAATTATGGGGAATCAAAATTCCCAAAAAGGGAATTGGGCACAGTTACTTTTTGCTGTGGGGTACTGTGTTTTAAAAAGGGGATTCTAAAAAAAAAAATTTTAAAAGGGTTTGGGATGAGTTTGAGAATGTGTGTAAAGGTAGGAAAATTGAAAAAAAAATTTGAAAAGAGTTAAAGGGGATGAGGGTATCAAATGATTTAGATAAAAGGAAAAAAAAGGGGTAAACAAATTGGGGGGGGAGGAAATATGGGAAAAAGTGAATGTTTTCAATACTTGGGAGTTGAAGTTCGGCGGTTGGGGTTTATGAAGGATTGAGGTTAATCATAGAATTGATGAGGGAAAAAAAGGGGAGTGGTGCGGTTTAGGGGATATGTGGAGTCAAAAAACGTTATTTTGGGGGCAAAGAAGGGAATGTATGAAAGAAAAGTAGTACAAAAATTTATATGGATGGGGAAGCCCTTTGGGGGGTAAATTTCGCAGTGAGGAGACAGTTTGGGGGCAAATGGAGATGGGCCTGTCTAAGGGCAATGTTGGGGGTAAAAAATTATGCAGAAAAAAATTTGGGGTGTGGAAAATTTGGAGAAGGTTTTGGAGTTAATAAAAATTTGGGCAGGGGCAGAAGAGGGGTTGTTGAGGTGGGGTTTTGGTCTTTTAGAGAGAATGGATCAAAGTAGAATGACATGGAAAGCATATAAATCTATAGGGGAAGGAAAGAGGGGTAGGGGTCGTCCTCGAAAGGGTTGGAAAGAGGGGGTAAAGGAGGTTTTGTGGGCGAGGGGCTTGGACTTCCAGCAAGCATGCATGAGCGTGTTAGATAGGAGTGAATGGAGACGAATGATACTTGGGACCTGACGATCTGTTGGAGTGTGAGCAGGGTAATATTTAGTGAAGGGATTCAGGGAAACCGGTTATTTTCATATAGTCGGACTTGAGTCCTGGAAATGGGAAGTGCAATGCCTGCACTTTAAAGGAGGGGTTTGGGATATTGGCAGTTTGGAGGGATGTGTTGTGTATCTTTATACGTATATGCTTCTAAGCTGTTGTATTCTGAGCACCTCTGCAAAAACAGTGATAATGTGTGAGTGTGGTGAAAGTGTTGAATGATGATGAAAGTATTTTCTTTTTGGGGATTTTTTTTTTTTTTTTTTGGGTCACCCTGCCTCGGTTGGAGACGGCCGACTTGTTGAAAAAAAAAAAAATTATATATTTATTTATTTATTTATTTATTTTATGCTGCTCATTTTTTATTCGTATTATATCACCTATGATAAAATATGAAAAATTTTATATTAGGAGTTCCTTCATACATTACCATATTTGATGTCCTGTTTATCAATGCGTTTGCTATCTGATTTTGTATTTTTCACCATCTCTGATTTGTAGTTTCATCACAAGCATTAAAAAGTGCACGACATAGCCCCTCTTTGCAAAGGGGTTAGCAAAGCAATAGCAAAAAACTGCACATCTTAGCACACATCATGAAAATCTTTTAAATGGTTCTGAGACACCAAATTATTGATTTTATCGAGAAATATGAGCTAACAACCCAAGTCAACATGACTTCAGAGCAGGAAGATGTTACCCATCACAGCTATTGGATCACTAACAAAATTGTTATAGGTAAAAAATAAAAGTCTAGTCTCAGAAAAGAAAGTTTTGTAGAGGGGTACATTATTTTTTTCCCATCTTCATACAACAGACAAGAACACACCCGGGGCTTCATATCTCATACAGACAATACCAGGTAAAAAGGCTTTATTTGTTTACAAAGTTTTAAAAATTTTTGGGTCATTCAGAGCTTTAAACAATTCCTTTCAAACATCAAATTTACACCATAAATTATAAACCTGGATGTCTGATCAATCCATTTTTAACTTTTTTTGTGTTTAAATTTGCAACCCAAAAAATACTTTTTAAAAGTATTTTTTATATTTTCTAATTCTTTTCACGTCATCAGGTATACCAAAAATTTTTAGATGAAAGGGGAAAAAATCTCTACCTTTTACATCAAAAGAGAGGGTTTTTTTGTCAGGCAAGCCCCCTTTTGGGGGGAAAAAACCTTCCCAACTGGGGCCCCACCCCTAACACGGGGCCACAAAAACTCTTTCTCCATTTTAAAGGGTGAACCCCATCGGGGTTAAGTTACCTCAGAAAAAAATAGAAAATTTACAAACATACGCAAAGTTTTCAAATGGTCAAAAAAAAAAAAAAAAAAAAATAAAATTTTAATGATAAAAATATTTCACTTGTTAGGGAAAGGGAGGAATGAAGACTTCAAAACAAAAAGAACAGTATACAGAAACAGGCAGACTTATCTAGAGTATAAAAGGAAAAGTAAAAGACTTGGGGAGATTATGTTAGATGTCTCCATTTGGAAAATGAAAAAAAGGCAGGGCAGCAAAAATTGAAAATGATGGTTTTTATTTTGAGAAATTTTAATAAAAGAAACAATGCAAAATGGTCAATACTTTTCAAATCACGTACTCATGGCTTTAAATATTCACAGTATCTGAAGTGCCTTTCAAAACAAAAGAGAAAGCAGAGCTGGAAAATGTACATAAACTATATGCCACATAGAAAACAAAAACAATAAACTATAAGAAGCCCCAAGGCACTTGACGTATTTTGGGAAATTTAGGAGAAAGGGGGTTCCGATAAACATAAATATGCCATACAAACAATACTTGAGGGCTTGGACTTTAAACCCAACTTCTATTAATTTAAAAGGGGGAAAGATACAGAAAACAGCATAAAATAAAACTCACTGATAAAGGCTTGAGGGGAAGGTACCAATTTTGGGAGAGAGCAGCAAGTTTCTTTGTATAAAGGAAAAAGGGGGTAAAAGGAGTGCAAAAATTTTAGGGGGAAAAATTGTTTATATACCTGGGAAAGTGTATGGTAATTTTTTTTGAAAGAATTAAGAGTAAGACGGAGAGTAGGATAGCAGATGAACAAGGAGGCTTTAGGAAAGGTAGGGGGTATGTAGACTGTTTACAGTGAAACATATAGGTGAACAGTATTTAGATAAGGGCAAAGAGGTTTTTGTGGCATTTATGGATTTGGAAAAGGCATATGACAGGGTGGATAGGGGGGGCAATGTGGCAGATGTTGCAGGTGTATGGTATAGGAGGTAGGTTACCGACAACGGTGAAGAGTTTTTATGAGGATAGTGAGGCTCAGGTTAGAGTATGTAGGAGAAAGGGAGATTATTTCCCAGTAAAAGTAGGCCTTAGACAAGGATGTGTGATGTCACTGTGGTTGTTCAATATATTTATAGATGGGGTTGTAAGAGAAGTGAATGCGAGGGTCTTGTCAAGAGGTGTGGAGTTAAAAGATAAAGAATCAAACACAAAGTGGGAGTTGTCACAGTTGCTCTTTGGTGATGACACTGCTTTTGGGAGATTCTGAAGAGAAGTTGCAGAGGTTGGTGGATGAATATGGTAGGGTATGCAAAAGAAGAAAATTAAAAGTGAATATAAAAAAAGAGTAAGGTGATGAGGATAACAAAAAGATTAGGTGATGAAAGATTGGATATCAGATTGGAGGGAGAGAGTATGGAGGAGGTGAATGTATTCAGATATTTAGGAGTGGACGTGTCAGCAGAGGGGTCTATGAAGGATGAGGTGAATCATAGAATTGATGAGGGGGAAAAGGGTGAGTGGTGCACTTAGGAGTCTGTGGAGACAAAGAACTTTGTCCATGAAAGTAAAGAAGGGAATGTATGAGAGTATATGTAGTTGTTAGTTGTACCAACACTCTTGTATGGGTGTGAAGCATGGGTGATGATTGTTGCAATGAGGAGGAGGCTGGAGGCAGTGGAGATGTCATGTCTGAGGGCAATGTGTGGTGTGAATATAATGCAGAGATGTTGCAGTGTTGCAGATTCTCCTCCACCACGATGCTGTGAACACTAACTCCAAGGCTGAGGGACTGATTACCTCATCTTTTGTATATAGTTCTACTGTCTTCTAATTCTGTCCTAGAATCTGTATTGATAAAGCCACTGGATGGTGAAACATCTACAATAAAGATATCCAGATGTTGCACGTGTCTAAACTTTCATAATGCAGAGAATTTGTAGTTTGGAAATTAAGAGAAGGTGTGAGATTACCAAAACTGTTATCCAGAGGGCTGAGGAGGGGTTGTCAAGGTGGTTCAGACATGTTGAGAAAATGGAACAAAACAGAATGACTTTGAGTGTGTATAAATCTGAGGTTGAGGGAAGGCGGGGTAGGGGTTGGCCTAGGAAAGGTTGGAGGGAAGGGGTAAAGGAGGTTTTGTGTGTGTGTGTGTTTTGTGTGTGTGTGTGGGGGGGGGGGGTTTGGACTTCCAGCAAGCATGCGTGAGCATATTTGATAGGAGTGAATGGAGACAAATGGTTTTTAATACTTGACGTGCTCTTGGAGTGTGAGCAAACTAACATTTATGAAGGGATTCAGGGAAACCGGCAGACTGGACTTGAGTCCTGGACTCTGAAGGAGGGGTGTTAATGTTGCAGTTTTATAACTGTAGTGTAGAGTACCCCTCTGGAGTGAATGATGATGGAAGTTTTTCTTTTTCGGGCCACTCTGCCTTGGTGGGAATCGGTCGATGTGTTAAGAAAAAAAAAAGTGAGAAGGCAGGCAATGGACACAATTAGCAGACACTATGCCAACATCAGCAACATCAACAAGCACAGGTGTTAGTTGCATCACTCTTTTTACACTATAAACTGGTGTGTTATTTGCACTACTAATTGCACATTACAGATCAAGCTTTGTACATTACAGATTAGTGTTAGTTAAACCACTCTTGGCACACTGCAAACCAGTTTGTTAGTTTCACATCCGTCTAATATATAATGCAACTGTGGGTACATAAATGGAATGCTTTTTTTTTTTTTTGTGTGTGTGTGTATTAATAAGAAATGGGTTTTGTTTTCACAGGTATCTCTACTGTGATGAGATCCGCCTGGAGCCAGATACAGTTCTAGCGACACTTTATGCTGCTAAAAAGTACCTTGTTCCACACTTGGCTCAGCAGTGTGTAAAATTTCTCGAAGTGTCATTGACAGCTCGAAATGCCTGCCTGCTTCTTTCACAGTCTCGTCTGTTTGAAGAGCCTGAGCTAATGACACGCTGTTGGGAAGTTATTGATGCTCAGGTATGTAAAAAGTTATTGCAGATTAAGACTGTAACTATTTGTTATACTTACGAAATTGCAAGTTATAACACGACCCCCTTCTGGGATCCCAGAAGGGGGTTAAATTATACAGATCAGCTAATCTTCTGAGTTTCTTATCCAGAAATGGTTACTAGTTTTATTTTAAAATTACTTTGAATTACTTTTTTGTCTTAATGAATTGTTGTGTCAACATACAAATACTCTCTGGGTTCATTTACGCTTTCTCTTATAATAGTGTTTATGAGTTTTACACTAATTAGAGGAAGCATGATGACTTGCCTGTTAAGTTTGTGGTGGAGCACAGAACTTTTTTTTTTTTTCAAATGTAGGTTATTCATCTATAGGGAAAGTAATTAAAGTTAGATGGTAAAGAAAATTTATATGGAACATTTGAAGGATTCCTTTAGGATATCTGCATTATGGCTACAATGTATTGATAATGGACCTGACTTGTTACATGTACAGCAAAATATGTAGACTTCCCTTCTACTCATATTTAATGTGTTCTGTTGAGGGTCTGAAGTTAGACCAAAATAATTTTTACATTATTTCATACTTTTTGAATGAATGCTCAGCTGACAGTTTTAACTGTTCAGATATGAAAGTGGTAACCCACCAGATTAGAGGAGGATTAGGAGGAAACAAAAAACCGCAAATACATATGGTGGTATAATGCAAATTCTTTGTCATGACTAGTCAGAGTACAGTATTTATAATCATAAAAATATCTGATAAGTTATTGAGTAAGATATTATACATTTTTTTTTTTAACAAGTCGGCCATCTCCCACCAAAGCAGGGCGACCCAAAAAGAAAATACTTTCATCATCATTCAACACTTTCACCTCACACATAATCACTGTTTTTGCAGAGGTGCTCAGAATACAACAATTTAGAAGCATATACGTATAAAGATACACAACATATCCCTCCAAACTGCCAATATCCCAAACCCCTCCTTTAAAGTGCAGGCATTGTACTTCCCTGAATCCCTTCACTAAATATTACCCTGCTCACACTCCAACAGATCGTCAGGTCCCAAGTATCATTCGTCTCCATTCACTCCTATCTAACACGCTCATGCACGCTTGCTGGAAGTCCAAGCCCCTCGCCCACAAAACCTCCTTTACCCCCTCTTTCCAACCCTTTCGAGGACGACCCCTACCCCTCTTTCCTTCCTCTTTAGATTTATATGCTTTCCATGTCATTCTACTTTGATCCATTCTCTCTAAATGACCAAACCACCTCAACAACCCCTCTTCTGCCCTCTGACTAATGTTTTTATTAACTCCACACCTTCTCCTAATTTCCACACTCCGAATTTTCTGCATAATATTTACACCACACATTGCCCTTAGACAGGACATCTCCACTGCCTCCAACCGTCTCCTCGCTGCTGCATTTACCACCCAAGCTTCACATCCATATAAGAGTGTTGGTACTACTATACTTTCATACATTCCCTTCTTTGCCTCCATAGATAACGTTTTTTGACTCCACATATACCTCAACGCACCATTCACCTTTTTTTCCCTCATCAATTCTATGATTAACCTCATCCTTCATAAATCCATCTGCCGACACTTCAACTCCCAAGTATCTGAAAACATTCACTTCTTCCATACTCCTCCTCCCCAATTTGATATCCAATTTTTTCTTTATCTAAATCATTTGATACCCTCATCACCTTACTCTTTTCTATGTTCACTTTCAACTTTCTACCTTTACACACATTCTCAAACTCATCCACTAACTTTGCAATTTTTTCTTTAGAATCTCCCATAAGCACAGTATCATCAGCAAAAAGTAACTGTGTCAATTCCCATTTTGAATTTGATTCCCCACAATTTAATCCCACCCCTCTCCCGAACACCCTAGCATTTACTTCTTTTACAACCCCATCTATAAATATATTAAACAACCATGGGTGACATTACACATCCCTGTCTAAGACCTACTTTTACCGGGAAGTATTCTCCCTCTCTTTTACATACCCTAACCCTGAGCCCACTATCCTCTTTAAAAGCCTTTACAGCTTTTAGAAAATTCCCACCTTTTCCCCAAATACTTGAAAACATCTCCCAAACATTGTCCTTTCCCACTCTAACATATCCTTTTTAAACCCTTTAAATGCAATAAAAACTTCCCCCCCCCCTTTATCTAAATCTTTTTTCACTAAATGTTCAATGAAACCCATTTTGATCGGGCACATCCCCTCCCCACTCAAAAACCCCCCCTCATCTGCAATTTACATTTGTTTCTTTCCCCTTCTTTCCCTAATCCCCCAAACCATCCACTTTTCCGGGTAAAAATCAGAAAAAATTCCTCTATAATTTTTAAAACTCTTTGTCTCCCTTTCCCTTTTTAAAAAGGGGGACTAACACGCTCTCCGCCAACCCAGGTCCCTTTCCCCCTTTTTTTTTTCATACATTTCTTCCTTTTTTTTTAAAAAACCGCCTTACCCCCCCCCCCCCCAAAAAGGCGGGGCCCCCAAAAAAAGAAAAACAAAGTTTTTTTTTTTAAAATTTTAGTAATTTTTTACGGGGAAGGTTAAATTAGCCCTTTCCCCCCGGGGCTTTTTAAGTCCCCTTTTACAAATGCATGGCTTACGGGGGAAAAATTTTCGGGCCCCACTTCCCCATGGAGAAAAGGGGAATAAACAAGAAAAAGAACTAAAAGGGAAAATAGAAAAAAACCCAAGGAGGGTGTATAAATTTGCTTGTACAGGTAGTAGTGGACAAAGTGCAATTTAGAAGAAAGCAAAAAACCCTTAATTTTGCATGTTTATGAACAGACAAAAGACACCACAACCAAACCACAGGGTAAAAAATTTCGGGTTTTTCGTTTTTCACTCACTTTGGCGGGACAAAAGTCCCCCTTAGGGGGGGTTCCCTGTTTCCCAAACCCCAACCCCCAGGTTTTATAATTTTTTTAAAAAAAAATTTAACCAAACCCCTTCCCAACACAATATCCCCCCTCCCTTTTTAACATTTCGTAAAGACCCCAACAGTTCTATGTTTTAAAACCCCTTTCTTTCTACAGAAGCCTCTACCTCCCCCCACTACACCTTTGCTCTTCTTAAACCCCAAAAAAGATGGTTAAACCCCCCCCGGGCCCAGTGCATGAAATTACCGCCTCTCTTTCTTCGTCGACATTTAAAAGTTCCTCAAAATATTCTCGCCATCTACCCAAAACCTCCATTTCCCTATCTACTAACTCCCCTACTAGGTTTTCTTAACTTGTTTAACTCACTCCAAACTTTTTTTTTTTTTTTTTTTTTTTTCAACAAGTCGGCCGTCTCCCACCGAGGCAGGGTGACCCAAAAAAGAAAGAAAATCCCCAAAAAGAAAATACTTTCATCATCACTCAACACTTTCACCACACTCGCACATTATCACTGTTTTTGCAGAGGTGCTCAGAATACAACAGTCTAGAAGCATACATATATAAAGATACACAACATATCCCTCCAAACTGCCAATATCCCAAACCCCTCCTTTAAAGTGCAGGCATTGTACTTCCCATTTCCAGGACTCAAGTCCGATTATGTGAAAATAACCGGTTTCCCTGAATCCCTTCACTAAATATTACCCTGCTCACACTCCAACAGATCGTCAGGTCCCAAGTACCATTCGTCTCCATTCACTCCTATCTAACACGCTCACGCACGCTTGCTGGAAGTCCAAGCCCCTTACCCACAAAACCTCCTTTACCCCCTCTCTCCAACCCTTTCGAGGACGACCCCTAACCCCGCCTTTCCTTCCCCTATAGATTTATATGCTTTCCATGTCATTCTACTTTGATCCATTCTCTCTAAATGACCAAACCACCTCAACTACCCCTCTTCTGCCCTCTGACTATACTTTTATTAACTCCACCACCTTCTCCTAATTTCCACACTCCGAATTTTTCTGCATAATATTTACACCACACATTGCCCTTAAACAGGACATCTCCACTGCCTCCAACCGTCTCCTCGCTGCTGCATTTACCACCCAAGCTTCACACCCATATAAGGTGTTGGTACTACTATACTTTCATACATTCCCTTCTTTGCCTCCATAGATAACGTTTTTTGACTCCACATATACCTCAACGCACCACTCACCTTTTTTCCCTCATCAATTCTATGATTAACCTCATCCTTCATAAATCCATCTGCCAACACGTCACTCCCAAGTATCTGAAACATTCACTTCTTCCATACTCCTCCTCCCCAATTTGATATCCAATTTTTCTTTATCTAAATCATTTGACACCCTCATCACCTTACTCTTTTCTATGTTCACTTTCAACTTTCTACCTTTACAACACATTCTCAAACTCATCCACTAACCTTTGCAATTTTTCTTTAGAATCTCCATAAGCACAGTAATCATCAGCAAAAAGTAACTGTGTCAATTCCCATTTTGAATTTGATTCCCCATAATTTAATCCCACCCCTCTCCCAAACACCCTAGCATTTACTTCCTTTACAACCCCATCTATAAATATATTAAACAACCATGGTGACATTACACATCCCTGTCTAAGACCTACTTTACCGGGAAGTAGTCTCCCTCTCTTCTACACACCCTAACCTGAGCCTCACTATCCTCATAAAAACTCTTTACAGCATTTAAATACTTACCACCTATTCCATATACTTGCAACATCTGCCACATTGCTCCTCTATCCACTCTATCATATGCCTTTTCTAAATCCATAAATGCAATAAAAACTTCCCTATCTTTATCTAAATACTGTTCACATATATGCTTCAATGTAAACACCTGATCTACACATCCCCTACCCCTCTAAAACCTCCTTGCCATTCCGCAATCCTACATTCTGTCTTACCTCTAATTCTTTCAATTATAACCTACCGTACACTTTTCCTGGTATACTCAGTAAGCTTATTCCTCTATAATTTTTACAGTCTCTTTTGTCCCTTTCCCTTTATATAAAGGGACTATACATGCTCTCTGCCAAAATCCCTAG